CATGGCTCCACCTTTAAAAATCGAAGAAGACTAAATATGTCCTCAAGACTGTTCTGAAAACCAAAAAAGCAGATGTAAGTCATCATAAATTAAACAAATTATAGTTCTCGTAGATGAATTCAAAATACTACAGGTAAGGGGCAGTATTTAAACCAAGCATTACACAACAGAAGATAGTATGCATTACATTCTAACAGCAGATAAAGCACTACACAACAGAAGTTATGTATTAAATTCTAACTGCTGAGAAAGTATTGCACAACAGCTGAAGGTATGCATTACACTCTATCTGCAAAGAATTATAAAGCAGCAAATTACCCAAAAATTGCCTGGATAAACCAGCAAATATAGTAGAATATTAATCTTTCAGATACCAATTTTCTTCTGGGCATAATATTCTTTAAGTTCAAAAAATAAAAAAATTTAAAATCATAAAACAAGATCTTTGACAATTTAGAACACCCATTTACAGAATCCTTGAGTGATTCCAAAACACTTGCAGAGTTGATAAAAAGAATCAAGAAATACTAACTCTTTTCTTAATTTCACCCCTCTTTTGGGTTGTCTCAAAAATATAACATGTTTCTATTTCAAGTATACTTTCTCTTCCCTCTCTTCATCACATCAACCCCTTTTTTATCCACTTGACAATGTTTCTAACTATTTCTCTGTCTATCCACCACCATAATTTGAACAGGCACTAAATAAATATTCTAAATATTTAACCAAACAAAAATATGATAAATACTATTAAAGAAAGGGTGGTACACTACACAGACAGGATTACTAAAACAAAGGATAGTAAATAAAATGGTAAAACAAAAGGGCAATATATTAATAAGAAATTACATATATATTAAAAAAGAGATGTCAAAAAGAGATGTCACCTGGATAGGAGTGCCAGTGAGACACCATCTCGAATAAGCTGTTAAAGCATTAGCAGCCACAGAAATTTGGCTTTTTGAGGACTTAATTGTGTGTGCCTCATCAAGCACCACTCTTAACCAACGTATAGAATGAAGAGCACCACAGCCTTCAATATTCTGTATCAAAGAGGAAGATATAGAATATCAGGTGAATGACAATGTGGCAAACACTCTAATATCATAGCAGCTCCAATCTACCTCAGATGAAAATTCTGAAGCTAGAACTCCATAGGTGGTGAGAACAACATCATTTTGAGCCAAGAGTTTAGCATCCTTTGATCTACCTTGTCCATAATGAACATAAACAGAGAGGGAACCAGGCAGAGCATGAGTTTCTATCTCTGCCTGTCAAAAACAAAAGTGAGCAACAGCCTGGTGATTTGCATAATATGAAGACTGATTCCTTTAAGAATCTGAAAAAACATGAATAAGTAAATACCTTCCATTGGCTAAGGAGTGTCATAGGACAGACAATAAGACTGCCACCATCCATAAGAACATTCTCATTTCTCATCTGCTTCTCAATGCTCTGAAACTTTGCAACCTTCTTAGTTGGATCGGGAGATGCATCAGTGGCTTTAATGAGCTCCGTACTTTCACCGGATGAAAGGCTCGACTGGCTACTAGGTGATCCAACTCTCTCTGAACTAGACAGGAGAAGGGATATGGTCATGACTGTCTTTCCAAGACCCATTGCATCTGCCAGGATCTAAAAGCACAAACCATAATCAAGATAGAGTATTTGTATAGTAAAAAAAGATTAGTGTTTATCCATTAATAGCATAAGAGACATACTCCTCCCCTAGCCATTTGAAGTGTACTTGGAAATTCCATAGTTGCTTCACCAGAAAATGAATTCAAGTAGACAACAAGGTCTCTCCTGCAGAGCACAAGATTCCAGCTCAAATATATATCTTATTTCACAAAACACTGCTGACTCCTATATACTAATTCTCTGTAATAAATTAGATTCGAACCAAACATACTTATCAGCCAGGCGATATGCTTCCCAACATGGGTGAAGAGTAGAAGCAGCCTCATCAGTGGTTTGTCCCCTCTCCAACTGGACCATCCAGTAAAGTGCCTGCTTCTGATAGGGACGGAGTTTGCAAAGAAGGGTGCTTGGCGGATCCATTTCCTGTAATATTTTACACGAAAGTTTAGTGGACAGCTAATACAAGCTTAGATGGCACAAATAGAGATTGTAGAAAAACATGATACCTCCAGCGTAGAGCTGTCTCCGACTCCAACAATGCTATCAACATCAGCATCGGATACACCTTCCTCACCTTCAGCATTATCTACATCTGATGTCAAGTTCTTAACATTCTTGGCATTCAACAATGAGGTGCGCAGACCTTCCTGTTCATACAATTTTCAAATTAAACACAAGGTTGTGTACCACAAAATTTGGCCACCTAACAAACATGAACTATACCATAGAATCCAAAGGCCGCTTCCTAGTGTACAAATTATCAGGAGTGAACTCAGCCTACATTGCAAGAGAAAGAAAGCCAAATGTTAATATATTTGCTAAGCATTTATAAGTGAAATGCACTGTGCAATATGCACTATGCACTACTCCAAATGCAGAAAGGTTTAAAAATCATTGAACTACCTTTTTAAAAGGAGCTATCCCGAGCAACCTGAATAAATTTGGCAAAGGATGAACAACTGTTTCCTCATTTGAAGTAGCAGCTGCTTTTAATGAATTTCGATGATGCTTCTGGAACATTGAACTGTTTATGTAGACACTGGATAGAAAGCAAAGTGCACACATTTTAGGCAGTATATAAACAACAAAAGTACTTAATACCCATAATCTAACCCATTGAACTACTAAAATTCGACTATCATGCAATCAATTCCACGAAATCCTACCGAAACAATCCTCATTGATTAAGCTTATCATGATATACCTCGATATTAGACAAGCACATCAAAACTAAAACATTTTATTTTCCAAACATAACCAATACTCACCTCACATTTAACGCAATGGTGTCCATAATACCCAAAATTTCAGGAGCATATTTACAAAATCCCTCGATTTTAATCTTCTTATCCCTCACAAGGGGCAACAAACACCTTGACCACTCATTCGGAATCCGGCCAATCTACAAACAACATCAAACTCAATAATGAAGACAACAATATCAATACAAACTTCACCAAGTAAAAATCTTCCAAACAATTAAGTACACCTACCTCGCCACCGCTCTTTGTAGAAAATCTAACAATCTCAGAACAAGCCCCAGCCTGTTTTCCTCTACCAAAAACCTTTCCTGGTAAAGGCGAATTCGAATTCAGCTTGTTCTTCACAGGAAACGCAAAATCAACTTCATCTCCAATCTTAATCCTCCTCCCTTTACTCGTCGACATTGCAGAAATCTCACCATACCCAACAAAACACCACTCTTCGCCTACCGGCTTCGAACTCGAACAAGTAATCGCCTTTTCCCTCTCCTGCACATCAGCTACAACCATTTCCTTACAAATTACTTCCCCATTTGATTTAGAATCCTCATTTGTATCTTCAATCGTGATCAAATTCGAGCTTGGAATCTTCACCCTCTGACTCGTATTAATTCTAGGGTTTTGCCGACTTTGAGAAATGAAATTGGGGGTATCGAAAATAATGTTAATTGCACCAGTTGCATCATTGTTCGCCATGTGAAGAGCTCTGATTATGTCCATTTCAGCGTAATCTTGCCCTACTACTGACCTAATTGTTTCTATGACTTCATCTTTGATTTTGCAATTCATACTGTAGTTTTCCGATTGTAAACCCTAAAATTAAATTCTGTGAATGTCGATAAAATGAGGCGAAATTGTGGAAGATCGAGAGAATTTATGGTGTGTTAGGGTTTTGTTGAGTTCAATTTGATGAGATAAATTGAAGATGAATGGGAGAAATTGGCGGGATTTAGGGTTTTGAAGAAAGAGGGAAATTGGGGAATGGACAGTGAAAGTATGTAAATTCCCGCCATCTCATGCTGCACGAGTAATATACACAACAAGGACTGAACTTTGCTATTTGTATCAAATAAGGGACTGAACTTCTAAATGTATCAGGCAAGGTACTAAACTTTGAACCTACTATAACCGGTTTAAGCATAGAAAAAAAAAAAAAGTTTAATATTCTGACAGAATTTAATGAAGGTAATGAACTTTGGCAATTTTTCAAAAAATAAGTAGCCGTTACAATTTACTCAAAAACTTGAGATTCTATAAATATTTGGCTCCATTTTTTGCCATTCCACAGCACCAAAATCACATCATCTGCATTGAAAAAAAATTCACAAAATTATTAAGTTGAAATTTTTTTTAGCAATTTGGTTATATAAATTTAAGGGATGTTTAGGAGCAGTTCTAGGGTGAGTGCTGGTTCAAAGAGATGCAATTGTGGACTGTTAGTGTCCAAGAGCAGGGCATGGACAAAGGATAATCCTGGTAGGAGGTTCCTTGCTTGCCCTGATTATGATGCAGACACATGAAGAAGGGGCTGCAAGTACTTCAAATGGGTGGATCAGGAGGATCAAACCAGTTGGCAGACAGAGGTAATTCAAGGGTTAATGCAAGAGAAACAGGAGTTGAATTCTGAATTGTTGAGTATGAGGAAGGAACTGAGGCAATGTAAGCAGCATGTTAGGAAAATAGAGAGTGATTACCTGTTGTTGAAGATGAGAAGGTCTGCTAGACTTAACCTAGGGGTTAACTGTGATTTATGGAAAGTGGTTGTTCTGTTATTTGTAGGGTATTGTTGGTATATGTTTAGGATGTAATGTATTGCCAATAATAATAATATAAGTAATGTAGATCAGGTTTACCTTACTGCTTGCCTTTTCTCTTAGATCTTGCTAGGTCCTGTAATCACATTATGCAATGACTTGCTTGATTAATGAATGGAAATGATATTAAAGTGCTCAAATGAATTTGTATTTGCATAACTTGTAATACCTGCAGTGCTTGACTAGAAATTACAGATGATTGGCTCTGTTGGCTTGACAGGGGGTAGTCTTGACTGAAAGAGTACAGGGTCTGATCTCCCTCATAGTCACTGTAAAATTCTCTCTACACTTGTTGCCTTGGTGGAGCAGCTTGTGCAAAAGGTGGAGGATGTGCTTGAAAATTTGCAGGCTGTAAAAATAGTAATGTTAATGACCTATTATCAACAGATAGAACCATTTACAAATTAATAAAGTAGTGAACTTACAGTAGCAACTCTTTGATATCCATTGGGGTAAGTGTAGACCCCAACCCCTCTCATGTGCATTGGAACAGTAGGAGTTGTAGATGCTTCCTGTTCTGATGCACTGGGTTGGTTATGTGTGTTCTGTTGCCTTTCTTGACCAGAGTTTTTGCAACCTCTTTTGTTATGGCCTGTGACACCACACAAGCTGCATTTCATGGCTGTTCCAGTCTTTCTCAACCTGCCAGTTATTGTTACTTCTCCCACCTGATACCTCCTGTTTTTCTTGGGTCTTCCTTGAATTTTCTTTAATTTTGGTGCAATGACAACACCATCAGCTTCAGGCCACTCTTGGGGCCCATTCAAAGGCTCTAGAAGGTATTCATAGGCCTTGAGATAAGTCTGTTTTGTGAAGTACTCATTCACATAATGCTCAGGCTCATCCACTTTGTTCCACACAGCAACCACATCATGTTTGCAAGGAATTCCACTTATTTGTCAAGCATTGCAACTACAGGTTCTGTGTTGTAAGTTGACCACAAATTTGTCTTGGGTAGCACCCTGCCTTACCCCATAACAGAAACCCCCATCCCAAAAAGCATTCCACCCCCTTGCCCATATCTTATTTCTCTCAAGAGTCTTTTGGATCCTAGGGCATAATAATATGTCTTTGTTGCCTTTTTCATCTCTTTTTTTGTGAAGCCTCTCCATTAATCCCTCTCTAATATCTTCTAACATAGTGATAATGGGCTTATGCCTTGAGGTGAGAATGTAGGCATTGAATACTTCACTCATGTTGTTGTCCACACTATGACAACAAGACATAGGGGTGTAGAATGCCCTACACCACTTCTTGTAATTTCTGTTCAGCAAATCCTCTGCAGCATCTTCTGATATTGCTCTCATCTGATCAATGTTTGCTTTAAAATCATTTTCTGTGTTGCTCTTTGCAATTATCCAATATTGCTTCCTATATTCAAGCCCTCCTCCAAATACAGTCCTAAAATTGCAGTATACATGTCTGGCACACACTCTTGTCTCAGCCTCTGGGAATACAGCTGCAACAGCTGCTAATAAGCCTTTTTGCTGGTCTAACATGAAAGTGTATCCAGCCCCTTGTTGTGTCCCCAAGTCATCTGCAAGTAGGGAAAGAAACCAGGTCCAAGTATCTGTTTTTTCAACCTCTACAACTGCCCATGCAATAGGGAACATTTGATTGTTCCCATCCCTTCCCACTGCAACAAGTAATTGACCACCAAAAGACCCTTTTAGGAAGCAGCCATCAAGAGAAATAAATGGCCTACAACCTGCAAGGAAACCCTTCCTTAGAGCCTCAAAACAGATGTACAATCTCTCAAACACATGATCATTCAACTGCAATTTCACAATGTTCCCACTGTTACACCTCCTTATTTCTGCAACATACCTAGGCAGGAGAGAGTACTGCTCTTCATACTCTCCCACAATATTAGCCTGCCCCTTTTTCCTTGCCCTATATGCCATTAGTGTGCTCACTTTCAGTCCTTTCTCTAACCAAAGTGTCTGAATGATGTCATGGACCTTCATGTAAGGGTTAACTCTAAACCTATTTGCAAAATATTCTGCAATCCACTTTGAATTCATTCTCTTTATCTGCATAGACCTCCCATAAGTATGCTCCCCATTGTGAAGTTTAACCTGAAAATTCCTTTTAACCTGCTCAAAGGATGCCCATATCTTCCAAGGACAACCCTTTGCAAAATTTCTACATTTAGCCCCAACCCTATTTGGATCATTCCTATAAAAATGTAAATTCCTTCCACACTCAATTGTGTATTTTGCTAAAGCTTTCCTGAAGTTCACAGCATTTTCAAATTTCTGTCCTATAAAAAAATTAGACTTTGTATTGTCACTCTCAATAGCTCTCTGCCTTTTTTCACCTTGAGGCATAAGGTATCCAAAGTCATCATCATCCTCATTTTCACTAGGGCTGTCAACATCACTTTCACCCTCCCAATCATTGGCAATGAAATCAGCTTCCCCATCCTTAGATTCTGCTACCCTCTTTAACATATCCATCTCCTCTTCATAACTCTTTTCCTCTAACTTATGTTGGCTTACCTTACTCCTAGAATTGAGGAGTTCATCATCATCCTCATCTGTCCCTTCACTATCATAATCAACATCAACCCCAACATCTTCATTATCCCTAGGTGCTGAACACCCTACCCCACCACCAGTAAGCAAGTCAGTAAAAGATCCATGACCCAAACCCATACCAGTTGTATGCAATGTAGCCCCTAACTCATGCTCTGTGTAGATATGAATTACCTTAAACTCCAATAAAAGAGACAAGAAAGGATCAAATGTCTTACTATCAAAAGCCAAGAACCTAATACCATCAACCATTGTTTTCCTAGGATCTAAGTAATGCATCTTCACAATGTCATCATGTTCTAAAAACTCAATTATATTCTTCACATAATCTGAATCCACACACTCAGGTATGTCCTCAAAGACATTAACCCTACCCCCACTATAATACATATCCCCCCTAACCAACCATTGACCACCATGATGAACCACAATGCAAGGGTTCAAAGCCATTATTCTGTCAAAAAGTAATGTAACACAACTTTAGATTTACCAAACCATGATCATCACAATCTATTTTAGTTATGATTACATATGTTTCTACAATCTATTTTATATATGTTTCTCAATCAATTTAAGTTATAATTAACACAATATTCATTAATTATACACACATAATTGATAAGTGACATTTATGCCACTATTTAGATCCCTTAATCATGGTATTTTCCCGCATTTGTCCCTTGTTTATGCCTCTTTTATCCATTTTCTTGTGTTTTTGCTTCCTCTTGTTGTTCTTTCCCCGTTTGTCTCTTTTTTCCTTTTTATTGGCTTTTTCTCGTGTTTTGTAGGTGTTTGGAGATGATCCCGAGATAAAACAAGACCTCGAGAATTGGAGCCCACTCGAAGAGCTAAAACATGAGCTAAGGGTCGAGAGAAGCCAAGCAAGGGAGCTAGGCTTGGAGAGGGCAAGCAAGCACCCATGCATGAGAGGAGCAAGAGCAAGCAAGAAAACACCAAGCAAGCCAATTTTCTGTAGATGCCTTGCGCGCCCTGTAGAGCCCTCTCACGCATAGAGGGCACAGCCTGACTGTTGTTCACTATTTTGGTCATAACTTTTGATCTACTTATAAATGGATTGAGGTGATTCAACTTGCGTTGGAAACTAGACTTGGAGAGCTTTCCAACGGTAGGTCGCACTCCCCCAGAAGCCTCCAAGACCGAAAGTTATGGCCGTTTGAAGTTGAAGGTTGCTGCCAGTTCAAAGCTTCCTGCGCGGGCGCGCAGTCCTTTTGCGCGGGCGCGCACGCTGTCAGCCCAGCCGATTTATTTCCCTATTTAAAGGCTGATTTGGGGATTTTTTGGGGGTCTTCTTCCTCTCTCCTCTTTGGGGTGAAGAACCCTAGCTTCTCCATCATCTTCAACTCTTAGATTAGCTTAGATTAGTTATATATTTAGTTTTAATCCTTGCTTTAATCCATTATAATGCAGTTTAGAGTAGATTTAGGATAGTTAGAGAGAGAAAGTTGGAAGCTTTAATGGAGGATTGAAGAAGATGAAGATGCAAAGTGACATTGTTTTGGATTACTCTTCATAAATCTAATGAGCATTCTAAACTCTATCTCATTTATTGCTTTCTTTAATTCTTGCTTTGTTTAGTTATTTGCTTGATTAGTATAGTAGTTTTGATAATTTGTTCTTCTTGTTGGGTTTTATTCTTAGTCTCTCTCTTGTTCCTCTTTGTTGGTTAATGTTTGTTGTTCTTGTTAGTTTAGTTTGTGTTAATGTCTTTGATTTTGCTAGTTTAGTTATGTTAGAGTAATTTTCTTAGCTAGGGTTAGGGTTAAATTGGGGATTAATGAGCAAGATGAACACTTTATTGATGAGCTAATTGGAATTGTTGATGTATTGAACTAAAAATGAAGGTCTTAATGCTTGGTGTCTTTCTAGCCAATTGATGTCATGATTTAATTGCTATTGTGTTAGTTGTGCGGGAGTGAGCTAGCTTGATAGAAGTATTTCATTGTTTAGTTGACCATGACCTCATAGGCGGGGTTGAGAGTTTAATGGCCTAGTGTGTGCGGGAGTGACCTAGGTTGTTAGGCAATTCTCCATATTATCGACTTGACCAATTAGATTAATGATGATTGTTTGCTTGCGTTTGATTAGTGCTTGTATATTGGTTTGTATGTATATTTCTTGGTGATTTGGTTGTGCTCATTGAGGTGTGTTTAATGCTTGCTTTTGCTTTGGCCGGTTGAATGCATGATCTAATTGCTATCCTATTTAGTTGCTTGGGAAAGAGCTATTTAGGTAGAAGTGAACCCCTTGAGTTGATCACGAGCCTCGACCGGGATTGGGTGCTTGATTGTGTAGCGTGCTCGGGAGAGACCTAGATGATTAAGATTTGCCCCTAGCAAGTTATTGAGAATGTCCATGTTCATTGCTATTCTTGTGCTTGTCACATTGATTGCCTTGATTACCCTTCCCTAGTGATTTTACCTCTTAGTTTCTCTTTCCTTAGTTAGTTAGTTTTCCTCTTTATTTTAATCTACTCCCCATATCTTCTTGACCTAGCTTAGTTGGTGGTAGTGTGATGATAATTTAGCCGTCTCTGCGGATCGACCCTTTACTTACCATTAGACTTGTCTAGTGTAGGTTTAGGTATATAAATATTGTTTGGTAGAGGGTAGTTAGTCCAACGACCTAGCTTTTCGCCTCTCATCAATAATTCAGTTCATATTACATATGTTTCACATTCTAATTTAGTTTGGATGAACACAATATTCAATTATGATACACCATGATCATAAAACATAATTAACACTTAATTAAATCAAACATAAATAACAACATTAAATAGATTGATAAATAACCATAAACCATTCCAATTCAACTTTTATAAACATCTAAATCCAAAAACCAACATTGTTAATTGTTTACAAAAGCAGACATACTTAAAATGAAACTAAACAATGTCATGGTAGTGACAAAATCACAAAAGGCCCTACATTTTGTCACTCCAAAAGACTACCTTCCCATGACATTGAATAATTACCTATAAACACCATAATTAGCTTAACTAAGCAGCATCATGACTATACATTCATTCCTAATCAGCTGCACCAAAAAAAAACCCCCTTCCTACACTACCCTCAGCCTAGGTCCCCTAATCCTCCTTGAAAAGCAGAGGGAATCCATCAAAGTACATCGTCATGTCTTTGGTCATCCAGGCATGGAAGTCCCTGCCCCCATTGAAGACGATGTCCTTCAGAACCCACTCCGCCACTTCAGCATGTGGGCCATAAAAGGGGAGACGGAGAGCCAAGTGACGGAGGCGCCACCAAATTCTCCACTTCTTGCACACCAACTGGACGTTCACTTCGTCCTCCCTGTTAACTCTGCTGAAGATATGGGTATCGAGGAGGTCCTGTTGGCTGAACATAGGGTGAGCATGCCCAAGAGCGTCCATACCTAAGGCCATATCAAGGTATATATCAGTTTCTATCTAGTTCATGTGTTAACCCCTGATTTACCCACACACCCATTACATCAAAACCCTAACCTAAATTGCAGATTCTCAACACACTAACAAAAATTTATATGATCAACTATGTTTTTCATGGTCTTTACACACTAACAACACAAAATCATGAACAATTTTGAGAAAAAAAAAATTTAAACTCATAATTCTAATCAACAAAATACCAAAACAGAGAAATAAACAACTATCACTATCATAATTTAACACAAAACAACAAAGAAAAGGAATATACCTTCTTTTGAGTAGAGCTTAGCGTACTTGCAGGAGTTACACTCTGAATCAACAGGCCACATTAATGAACACACACGTTTGAGAATTCCTCTCTGTTTAGGGTTTATGTGAAAGAAGATGAAAATGATCTTTTTACCTTCCTTCAATTCTTTATATAGGAAGAAATGAGTGGTGGAAAGGCATCTGCCTTTTGAGTTCGCGCGCCAAACGAAGCTCATGATGGCTTTTTGCATTCTCGAGGCTTTCTCTGACATAATTTTTTATTTTTATTTTTATTAAACTCTTAAATTCAAAGTAACCTGAAGCAACAGGTAGCAAACAGAAAGGTAACCTGCTCAGATGGTCATAGTACTCTAATTGATACATTTGTAAGTTCAGTACCTTAATTGATACAAATAGCAAAGTTTAGTACCTTGTAGTGTATATTACTCGATGCCGCACAAGTATAAAAAGAATTTAAAAAAATTTAAAATAGTTTTTTTTAGAAAATAACACCACAAATTTTTGGATTATAAGTTTTTAACACTACAAATTTTCAAACTTTTATTATAACACCATAAAAAAAAATCAAAAATTTAGATTTTACCGACACCTAACGGATATTTTGATGGAATCTGTTAGTGGGACCCACTCTGAACAAGTGTCAATAAGACACTAGTTTAAATTAATTAATTAATTAATAAATAACAAAAAATTTAACCCAGCCCCACAACCACAACCGGAAGCAGTACACTCCACCGCCTACCGTCGAAATCACCAGTCGACACCCTCACCCACCAAAACCTTAGGTAAATCCCACCAATCAGCCAGCTCCACCACGTAGATCCACCCCCTCTTTCTTTTCCCGCCACAAATCCGTCAGCCAACCTAACCCCTTCAACCCACTCATCCCTTACCCTTACCCAAAACGACCAAAATCGTTTGAAATCGACCATAACATCATTAGAGCAAACAATTTTGGTGATGGATACTGGTGTCTGCCACTGCGTGAATGACGAAGTTAGGGTTTCATTTTTCGGGGGTTGTCGACCTGTGGAGGGTGGGGCTTGTGGGCTAGTGGGTTTAATGGGGGTTAGGTGGTTTGTTTCGAAGATGAAGGAAGAGGTTACGGTGGCTAGGTGGGATTTCGAGGCTGGGTTGTAAGGCTGTCGGAGGTAAAGGTGGTGGCTGGGACTTAATTAGAGTTTTTTCTTTTTTTTTTTATTTTGATTTTTTTTTAATTCAATAGAATAGTGACACGTGTCTATTGTGGGGCCCACTAACGATTTGTTTTTTTGGAGGAAATCCTTTTTTTTATAATAAAAGTTTTAAATTTTGTTGTGCTATAATCCAATATTTGAGAAATTTATGGTGTCATTTTCTAAAAAAAAAACCATAAAAAAATTTACAAGTAAAAATAAAAATTAAGTTCTTAAAAAAAAAAAAAAAAAAAAAGGTGTTTGATCATCCATATGAGAGAGTGGTGTTCATAGTATAGATATTACCTTTTTATGTACTTGTCAAAAAAAGATAAACTAGCCTTTTGGACTAGAAAAATCGTAAAAGAATAAACTTAATAATTTTTTATCCCTTGTAATCTCAATGAATGTTTTAGGAAAAATATTGTAACCATTATGTGATTGAAAATTTATAAATTAATTTAATGGAAGTTGAGGAGTGGGAGGAATTCTCAAAAAAAAAAAAAAAAAAAAAAAAAAAATTAAGGAGTGGGGGGAAAAAAGATTACTTGTATGTGAAT